CTTTTCAAGGGTACAATTCAGCGGTTTTAAAACTCACAAAATTAAAAAAAAAAAAACTCACAAAATTATACAACCATCACCACCGTGTAATTTCAGAACATTTTATCACCCCTAAAGTGAAAGTGAAAGTCGCTCAGTCGTGTCTGGCTCTTTGTGACCCCATGGACTGTAGTCCATGGAATTCTCCAGGCCAGAACACTGAAGTGGGTAGCCTTTCCCTTCTCCAGGGGATCTTCCCAACCCAGGGATTGAACCCAGGTCTCCCACATTGCAGGCGGATTCTCTACCAGCATCACCCCCAAAGAAACTGCATACTCATTGGCTGTCACTCCTCTCTTCTCCTTCCCCCATCCCCTGGCCAACACTAATCTACCTTCTGTTTCTTGATTTGTTTACTCTGGAAATGTAAATGGAAATAATATGTGGCTTCTTCCACTTAGCATAATGTTTTCAAATTCCTTCTGTGTTATAACATGTATCAATCAGTGCTTCATTCTTTGTAAATTTTTCCTTTTTTGGCCACACCACACAGTATGTGGGGTCTTACTTCCCCAACCAGAGATGGAACCCCGGTCCCCTGCCTTGGGAGCATGGAATCATAGCCACTAGACCACCAGGGAGGTCCTGTTATGACTTTCTATATGAGAGATCATGTTATCTGCAAATAGAGGTAGTTTAACTTCTTTCTTTCCAATTTGGATGCCATCTGTTCATTCACTTATTCATTCAGTCTAAGCTCATTCTTGCCTAAACGCTCAGGCTGGAACCTACCGTACAGTATTGAATAGAAGTGGCAAGAGTGAAACTCTTCATCTTTGTTCCTGATCTTGAGGGGAAAGCTTTCAGTCTTGCACCGTAAAACATGTTAGCTGTGGATTTTGGGGGGCGGGAGGGATGTTCCCTCCTCAAGTGTCAGCTTGAAGAGGTTCTAATTTGTCATGCATTCTTTATCTTGAAAGGGTGTTGAGTTTGATCAAATATTTTTTCCTGTATTGATTGAAATGTTTTTAATCTGCCCGTTAGCTTTTTCTTGGCTATGCTGGGTCTTTGTTGCTATGTGCAGGCTTTCTCTAGCTGTGGCGAGCCGGGGCCATTCTCTAGTTGTGGTGCCCGGATTTCTTATTGCAGCGGCTTCTCTAGCTGCAGAGCATGGGCTCTGGGGCATGAGCAGGCTTCAGTAGTTGTGGCACATGGACTTAGTTGCCCCATGGCATGTGGAATCTTCCTGGACCATAGATCAAACCTGTGTCTACTGCATTGGCAGGTGGATTCTTAACCACTGGACCACCCGGGAAGTCCACCTGTCCCTGAGCTTTTCTGTGTATCACGGACTAACATTTTTGGAGAGTCCGGGCCAATTACTCGGTACTTCCTCATGATTATTTTGTGGATTTTTAATAAATAAAAACAAATAAATATTAATAAAATATTAATTATTTTAAAATATTGAAAATATTGTTTAAAAATCAATTAAATTGGTTAATTATTTTAAAATATTTAAAGATATTATAAAAATTAATGTATAAAATAAAAATTTATTTATTTATTTTTGCCTGTGCTGGGTGTTCCTTGCTGTACGTGGGCTTTTCTCTAGTTGTGGCAAGCGGGGGCTACCCTCCAGTTGCGATGCGAGCACTTCTTGTAGCGATGGCTTCACCTTGCAGTGGCTCCTCTTGCGGCTCACGGGCTCTAGAGCACAGGCTCAGGAGTTGCAGCCATGGGCTCAGCGGCCCCAAGGCAAGCGGGTTCTTAGTTCGTGGACCAGGGATTGAACCCAGGTCCCCTGTGTTGGTAGGCACATTCCCAGCCACTGAACCACCAGGAAAGTCCCCAAATGGTGATTTTTCTAACCCTTCTCGTTTCCTTTTACTAGTTGGTGGACATGTTAACTTTGAGATTACCTGTTAAACATCTAAGTGGAGATGGTGAGTAGGAAGTGTAAAGTTCAGGAAAGGTTCAGGTTGTAGATTCAGATGTAGGAGTTGTCAGTCTATACGAGTTAAAGCCATTAGCAGTCGAGGGGCTCCAAGGGCCCACATCCCCTCTTGGTCACAGGACTTCTCCAGGCCTGGGTCCCCTGACCTGTTTTGGGGACAAACTCGGGTGCTGACTGGTGGCTCCATGGAGGCTGGGACTCTGGGGGCTCCTGTCTTAAGGAAAACTGGGTTCTATGAAAGGAAATGACCTTGCTCTGTTCAAAGCTGGTAAAAGCTCTTAGACTTAACCTGGCATTCAAGGCTTGTCCGGTGCACCCTCCCCCCAGGGAGCAGCCCAGTCATACATGTCTGCCTTTGCTCGCTGTTCCCTTCACTGCTGCAGCTCAGAGAACTCATGCTCATCCTTCAAAGCCCAGCTCAAATGTTACCTTCTTTGGGAAGTCCCGCCCCTGGCTCCCCAACAGTGTCGTTCATTTAAGAAATATTTTCTGATGCTAGGCACCAAGACTAGTGAAAAAACACTATTCCTGCCCTCGGGGAGCCCATCTGTCTCCCTGGTGGAGACAGATACTGTATTCATTTGTAATCTCACAGATCTAAGGACCAGTGACAGCAACAAAGGACATCACTCTTGTGCTCCAAATGTAGAGCGGGGGATTTGCACCAGCCTGGCCTGGCTGAGGTGTTTTGGGAGGGCTTCCCTGCAGAAATGCCCGCTAGCCTGAGAGCTGAGCGGAGAGGAGATGCATTGGTGGGGGAGCCACGGCTCTCTGTGCAAGGCCTGTGAGGCTGGCTGGAAGGCACAGGGCGAGGGATGGGCTCCCATGGGCGGGACACCTAGAAAGGTGGGCAGAGGCCTCCAAGGCCAAGGTAAGGAGCCTGGATTTTCTCCTGCTGGTACAGGGGAGGGTGCAAAGGGTCCTGATCAGAGGGGGACTATTGGAGGGAGCAGAGCGAGGACTTCTGAGGAGTCCCTTGGCTGCCATAAGGAAGGGGCAGTGCAGACTGCGTTGATTTTTCAGATCAGCCAGATTCAGATGGGTAGCAGACACCCTACTTCATTTTATTTTAAAAATATATTTATCTGGCTGCGTCAGGTCTCAGTTATGGCACACAGATCCTCATTGCACAGGCTTCCGTGGCATTTGGGATCTTCATTCCCTGACCAGGGATCACACCCATGTCCCCTGCATTGCATGACAGATTCTTAACCACTGGACCACCAGGGAAGTCCCCCAACTTCACTTTAAATTTCTCTTAGCCCCGCTAATAGATGGTGGTGTGGGAGCTTCTCATCTCAGTTCATCTGGGGTCCTCATGGTCTCTGGCTCAGAGAGCAGGCTTGGCCCTTTCTGTTCCCTCAAAGGTTGTGCTTTGGAAACGCAGAAGCCAAGGATTCTCAGGTCCCCTGAAAAGCTGCCTTTCCGTGAAGAGATAAATGCCTCCCTGATAGAACAGAGTACAGGAGAGGGGGACATCATCTAAGCCATATTCATGATGTGCAGACTGTCTCATCATGAGACAAGTCTGCCTTTCCATGAAGAGATAAATGCCTCCCTGATAGAACAGAGTACAGGAGAGGGGGACATCATCTAAGCCATATTCATGATGTGCAGACTGTCTTGTCATGAGAAAATGGAAATCCAAATTATATGACATTCTGTAAGATGCTTGGGTACTTTAAAAATGTCAGGGTCATGAAAAAAAAAGTGGGGAAACTGTTTTTGATTCAGTGAGAGTAAAGAGACATGGTAACATGAGAGCAGTGAACGGTCTTGCTTTGGATCCTGGCTGGATATGAAGGAAAAACCTTGGAGGCTGTTGTGGGGCCATTTGGAGTATGATCCCCACTTTAGCTGATATTAAGATCTCAGTGCCCTCCTGGGTAAGGGAGGTGCTTGAGGGCCACTGGTTGGTTAAATTAAGAGAGTAACAGTGGTACTGGGCTTCCCATGTGGCGCTAGTGGTAAAGAATCCACTGCAGTGCAGGAGATGCAAGAGATGTGGGTTTGATCCCTGGGCTGGGAAGATCCCTGGAGAAGGAAATGGCAACCCACTCCAGTATTCTTTCCTGGAGAATGACCATGGACAGAGGAGTCTGGCAGGCTACAGTCCATGGAGTCGCAAAGAATCAGACATGACTGAAGTGACTGAGCGCACGGTGGTAGGGAGTGGGAAGGGGTGTCCTTATTCTTAGGCGTCGCCTGGTGTGTTTGGGGTGAAGCAGCATGGTGCACCTCCAAGTGCTTGAGGTGAGGGAGATGTTTGTGTCCCAGAAAGAAACAATGCAAATACGGCAAAATCTTACCAGTTGGTGATTCTGGGTAAAGACATGAAACTCTTTCAGCCTTGGGGAGAGGTGGGCGTCACCTCTGCTTCACCAGCAGGGCTGGGAGCAGGGGCCCAGATTCAGCATGTCAGGTGTGTTCCTCCCCCCACCCCAACTCATGCTGGGATACGGGGTGTGCAGGGCTCTCCCTGGTCTGACCCACAATGCCTCGTCCCTGCTGTAGCAGAAATGCTCGGGCTCTGAAGGGGTGAGGGTCCTCCGGGTGCCCCAAGGCTGGGCTGGCATAAAGCTCAGTTGCTGGTTGGTCAGAGCCAGTGGGAGCAGCTCCTATATTCCTGCAGGCTTCTGAGCATCCACCTGAGTGCCCAGGCCACCTGAAACTTGTTCACTTACCCTTGAGTCACTCTCGGCCATGTCTCAGGGCGGAGCTAGGTCCAGGCAGCCCCAGGAGTTGATCTGAGCCACCCATGGTCACTGGATGCTCAGCCACCACTACCAGGATCTAGACCTGAGGGCACCCTGCTCCTAGTGAAGGGGGTCCGGCCCAGTGGCTTCAGATGAGCTCACAGACTCCCAGCGGGGAGGGCAGGGCAGCCCGAACAAAGTTTCTGGGAAGGCAGTTCCCTTGGGCCTGAGGTCAACCAGCACCTCAGCTGGGTTGGGCCAGGGGAGGAGATCAGATGTCTGCAGCTCAGCCGGGCCCAAGAACTTTCTTTTTTAAAAATGTTTATTGAAGTAGAGTTGATTTACAGTGTTGTATTTACAATGGTGTGTTAATCCAAGAACTTTCTAAAACACACGTTCTTATTTCCAGACATCATTACTTTTTGTTCTTTATGCCTAGGGTCTCCCCCACACCCCATCACCACACCTGCCCCCGAAGCCGGTAAGCACCCCTGTCCCTCGCCCTGACCAGAGGCTGCTGCCCAGGCCAGCTTGGGCGGTGCCGTCAGGGTTCCCACGGCCTCACTGCGCCGCAGCGCCTCCTCTATCGCCTGCCGTGGGCTGGAGCTCACCTGGGGCACGCTCCGTGTCTCCCCCACCGGAGTGTGAGCTCTGCGAGTGACCTGCCGGGCCCTGGGCCTGGTAGGGTGGGCGCTCAGGAAGCGCATCCAGGGCATGTAACTGTCTGGGTGGAGATGGCTGTCGGGGGTACCGAGTGCCCCGTCCTGGGTGAAGCGCACGCAGGGTCGGGCTCTGGAGCGGGCACCAGCTGTCAGCGAGGGTGGCCCATCCTGGCTCCGGTATAGCAACTTTAAAAAAAAATTTTTTAGCCGTGTCACATGGCATGTGGGACTTTTAGTTCCCCAACTGGGAATCAAACCCATATCCCCTCATTGGAAGCGTGGAGTCTTAACCACTGGACTACGAGGGAAGTCCCACCATATAGCAACTTAGTAAGCATTTAGTTCTTCAAGGAAGCTGGTCAGGCAGATGTTACACACTCAGCTTCCAGATAAGGGAATCCAGAGCTTAGTGTTCTTGCCCAGGCTCACAGAGAGGCGCTTTAGCTGGAATTGCAGTTTGCCCTCCAGACCACCCATCTCCAGAGAGACCCCTGCCACTTGGAAGGTGTCTGGCTGTCCCCTGGGGCATCCACTCCACCCACCTCATGCCAGCCTGGCCCATCCCACCGCAATAACACCATGAGCCCTTGGTACACATTACCTCATTTATTCTCACAACATGCCTGTGAGGTAGGGAGGGGCGGGGACTGTCCCCATTTTACAGAGGAGGAAGTTGAGGCACACAGAGGTCAAGTGACTTGCCCAAGGTCACAGACGGCGGCCAAGCTGGAATGGGCCCTAGAGCAGGCCCGCAGTTCACCCAGGCCCCCTGCGGTGGGTGCTGGACAGAGGGCGGCCCCAATACCATAGCCGTGGCCACTGGAGCGTGCAGCCTCGTGTGCAGGGCTCGCTACGGGCCGGCCTCACCTTCTGCCTAACCCCCTGCCCACCCTCCCCTCACCCTGCAGGCCTGGACCATTGCAGCTCAGGGCTCATGACACCCTGGGAGTGGGGCTGGGAGTGGCGCTGGGGAGAGAGGAGGATGATTGGGGTAAAAAAATAGAAAACTCAGAGACTGGGCAGATGGGCCCACGGTGGGGGGCAGGTGAGAGTCGAAAAAAGAAAAGGGGGAGAGGGAGGGCTGCTTACACACAAGGTATATATTTTTACACACACTTGTACACACACCTAGATATAGTACATGTAAAAATATATGCTATTCACACACCCGCCTCCTGCCAGGTGCCCCGAGAGCCAGCGGTGGCGCTGGTGGGCATGGGTGAGCAGAGGGGCGTTTGTTAAATATACACTCTAGGGTCTATGTGCATATGTACACATACGTACAGACACAGCCGCCCGCCCCTCGGCTACTGTACACAGGCTCGGCCAGGGACAGACCACCCCTGGAATGTGGGGGCCCTCTCTTGAGTGGCCCCAGCAAGTCACTCTGAGTCATACGTTTTTGCTGAAGGAAAGAAGGGGCTGGAGAGAAAAAAAAGGCGGGAGTCTGGAGTGTGGTAGCTGTGGTTTTTACCTCATCCCCGCCCTCCCACCCCCCAAGACCTCAGCCCTCTCCTGGTCTCAGAAAGGTGAGACCCAAGGCTGCCAGAGCACAGTGGGAGGGCCGCTTCTGCTGAGAGGAACCTGCAGTCGTGTGCACGTGCATGTGTGATTGTGTGAGCACTTGGTGGGGGAAGGGATGCGTGTCCATCTCTCTGTCCTCAACCACACAAAGGGCTGAGAACCAGAAAGCCGACAGTCAGGATGGCGACCCCTGTGTGGGCTCTGAAGGGCAAAGAGAAACGTAAGAATGAGAACTCCAAGGTCAGAGCTGGGGTAGCCAGCGGAGGAGGAGGGACATGGCAGGTGCCCAAGGCTGCCCCTGGGTTGTCTTCATCTTGTAAACAAGCTAGTTTAAGTTCTCATTAGACAGAACGAGTAAAAAGACCGTAGTCTGGAGGCCGGGCTGGGGAGTTGCTGAAGTCCATCTATCTAGTCCACCCCTGCCAGCGAGAAGAGAAAAAAAAAGTTTCCTAGTTTCGTGTTTTTGTTGATTTTTGTGTGTGTGTGAAGTCTCCATAACCTAAAGCTTGGAGGGACCCAAAGAAGCCAAATCGTGAGCCCTTGGATGCGTCAATTTGAAAGTTGGCTCAGGGTCTCTAGACAGAATAACCATACTAAAGGTTGAGAAAATTTTGTTCCATTTGCATTTAGTTTGTGGTTTTTGTTTTTTTTTTTAATGATTTAAAATTGTTTGCTTCCTGGTCTCAGAGCCGGGTCTGGGCCTCAGGGACGTAAATCTCGATGCTGTCTGCGCTCTCTGTGGCTGAGTTCTGCCGCACGGAAGCCGCCCGCTTGGCCGCCAGGAGTCTCTTGCGGGCCTCCTGACGCTGCTTGTCCCCAGCATCAGAGGCCTTGTCGCGGCTCACTGCCGGCTTGGATTTGGCTGGCTTCTTTGGGACCGGAGGGGGTGCTTTCTTCTCTTCCTTTAGTGAGACAGTGAGGAGGGAAGAAAAATAAAATAAAGGTGCCACCTTGTGTGTGGCAGCACTACCACCCACCATATGCTGGCAGCTGGAGTCTCCACCCCAGCTCCCCCGCATTGGGCACAAGCAACACACACTTGGAACCAGGAAGCCACAAGAAGCGATGATGGTGGGAAGAGCACAAGGCATAGGAGCAAAAAGCAAGCTGACAATCCTAGAGTGTTCTAGTAAGAGGGGACGGACAGATCACCTCTTCCCACCCCTGCTTGGACCCACTGAGAGCCCAAAACTCACACAGGAGTCACACAGCCAGAGATGGGATTTAAATTCAGGGCCTCCGACTCCCAGATCACATTGCACGTGCTGTTCTAGGGGACCAGAACTCACAAGGGCCATCGTCCAGTACCCAATAACCAAAGGGGTCACTGGGCACCACCATCTTACAGATGGAAACCCGGGCCTCAGGGGTGAGGCTGGCCTGGGAGGCAGAATCTGGTCCAGACCCCTGGACTCCTGGCAGCGTGGTCCTAGGAGAAGGACCATTTTTCTGCCTCTGACGTTCCAACAGCTGTGACTACACTACCACTCCAGGCTGAGGGCATGTGTCTCCCAGGAGTCCCCTTTTCCGAACATGCAGGGCAGGAAGGCATGCTTCGGGGGCAGCCTCAACTACACAGAGCCCGCGGCATGCTGGACGAGCGCCGAGCATGGACCCCGCACACTGATGGACGTGAGCCCCCAGCTCAGAGACGACACACGGAGAAGGGAGCCAAGCAGCACTGACCGATGTGGGCAGCGTTATTGCCGACCAGGAATTTGTCCCTGGACTTCCCCTCCGCACTGCTCCATGCTCACCTTCCTCTTCTCGGGGGTCTCCACCAGCTGCCAGCTGTTGGCCTTGAGGTGGTAGAGTTCATCAAACTTCATGCTGATGTCCTCGATGGACAGCTGGAGCAGATCCCAGAACCCTGCCAGGTCCTGGGCTGTTGGACGTGGGTTGGCATCAGGGTTCTGCGGGACAGAGGGGGGTCAGTGGGGCCAGAGGGCAGGGCTTGTCCTGCACCCCATCCCAAGTATGGTCTCCGAGCTCTGAGTGGGTTCTCACACATGTGGTAACTGAAGCCTTTGCCACCTGTCGGGCTCTGGTGAGGATGGCCCTCGAGGCCTTACTGTGTGGCTGGTGGGCGACTCATCTCATTTTATAGGGAGGAGGCAGCATCACTCCCAGGTCAGTGTGATTACAGACCCATGGGGGTTCCCTCCCATCATTCTGTTCTCAGCCAACACATTCTTCATCACGACTTCCTCGGTGAACCCCCAAACCCCTACTGGTCCTAGAGACAAACACTGGCCATTGTCCCCCACCCTTGGCTGGATGGAAAGAGGCTCCCCACAGGAAAGGCTGCTGCCTGACAGGTGAGGGTGAAGGAGAAGGGAGACCCACCAAGCCTAGTGGTGGTTATTTCTTTAGTTCTTACCTTGACTGTCTTCTTAGATACAGAGTATGTTATAAATAAATATATCACTGCTAACTTATTTTTAACTTCCATGTGGCTGTTTTTACATAGAGTTCACTTTTCTATTTCAGAAGGCATTAAAGACCTGAAAGGACCACTCCTGGCCCTTTTCTTGTGGTAGGCTCTGACATGTGCCACTGTCATCCTTCCAGTGGCTGAGGAGGCAGACCTTCTCCATGTCAGGGAAGAGGTCAGAGGCTTAGAGGCTAATCCAGCCAGGGGCTCTGGCTGGGAGACCCACTGTGGAGGAGGAAGAATCACACTTACCAAGTTTTGCTCACAGAGGCCCCGGAACTGCTGGAATTTCTGCGACATCAGTAGCTGGGCACTGCCCACAGCACTGAGGACCTTCCCTAAGACTGAGAGAGAAGCGGGAGAAAGGCTGAGCAGAGCACAGGTCTGCTTTCACCTCCCCTCCCCACCGCCTTAGGGTGCTGATCGTTATTTGGTGACGCAGCTGGCCTTCATTTTATTTACACAGTCATTAACCCACTCTTGTGAAAAATGCAGACCATACCTATAAAGTGAGCCCCACCCACCAGTTGCTAAGGATATGTCATGGTGATAAATCAGAAAACTGAGTTTAAATGGAAGAAAACATTTCAGGAAAACAAATTACTACCATAGGCTCAAGAAGAAATAGAAAATCTGATTAGACTAATAACTGTTTAAAAAAACCGAAGCAGGAGTTAAAAATCTTCTCTAGAAAAAGGAACCAGGCCTATACAGTTTTATAGGTGAGGTTTTACAAAACCTTCAAGGAACAGATAACCCCTGTTATATATATTCAAATTCTTCCTGAGAGTAAATAAACACAGAAAATGACACAGCTAATTTTAGGAGCCCTGAGAAAAAGATAGGACATGACAAGCATAGGCCACTTTCATTAGGGACGTGAAAGTCTTAAAGCAAAGAGCAGTGTTAACTATGAAGTGCTCAGCCCAGGAATACAAGACTGAAGTCTTTTAGTGCCATTTCTGGTTTTAAAGTGGCAGGGGAGACTTTCCTGGTGGTGAAGACTCCACATTTCCAATGCAGGGGGTGTGGATTTGATCCTTGGTCAGGGAACTAAGATCCCATGCCACAACAAGACAGAAGCCTACAGGCTGCAACAAAGAGCCTGTGTACTGTAATGAAAGATCCCCCATGCCACAACTGGGGCCTGACGCAGCCAAATAAATATTTTTTTTTCTAAAGTAAAAAAATTATGTTGTATGTCATCAAAATAATAAAGTAGCAGGAAGACAATACTACCTCCTAACCCCCTTAGAAATCACTGTAAAGCAAAACACAGTAAATTAATAAAAATGTACACCGTCTCCTGACAGAGCCCCAGAGCACGGTATATGAGGAAGTGTCAGGGTGCAGTGACAGCCACACAGGGAGAGTTCTTGCAGCTGAAGGGCTCAGATCAAGTTCCGAGTTCTTCAAAGCAGCATAACTTGAGAACCACTAATCTCTTGTTTGAAATAAAAAGGGGTGTGGAATGCAGCAGGAGCTTCCCTGAACCTGATTCAGCACCAAGGGTGGGGGGCAGGGGGCGACAACACTGCATGGTAAATGGCCCCTGGTGTCCTGGAGAGAAGACCAAGCTGAAAGATGCACTAAGGAGTTCCTGCCAGCCTGGGACACGCTCCTGCCTCCTCCCCCGCAATGATCTACTTACAACAGCTTATCTAGGAGGAATTTCACCTCATTTAGAAATTAGTTATTACAAAGGAGCCCATGCAGGAGCTCGACATAGTACAGGAGCAGCAAACGGCAGATAGGTGTTCACCAGGAAGTTGTTGTCAGAGAACAGACGAGCAGTGTGACATGTAGCCACAGATATTTAAACAGTAGTTCAAAGCAGAGATCGAGGTGCTCTGAAAAGATTTAAGAGCGTAGAAGGAGGTAAGACATGAGCTCTGGAACTACTGCAAGAGAAAAATCAGGCATCACAGAAACAAGGGCCATGATGGACACAGTACAAAGAATAAACCCTAATGAAAACCAGTAAGGATGAGGGGAACAGGAGTGGAAAAGTTCCTGGTGCAAAACCCTTATACTGCTAGATTACATCTTAAAGCTGCCAGGAATAACTGCAGGTAGTGGGTGTATGTACCCGGCTTGGTCTAAGGTAGAATGGGAATAAAAGAAGTCCCTTTTGAAGAATTCCTCATCATAAGATTGCACTTAGGTACCTTATTTTTTTAAGAAATAGAAGAAGCAACTAGAGGACTTCCCTGGTGGTCCAGTGGCCAAGACTCTGTGCTCCCAATGCAGGGGCTTGGACTTGACCCCTGGTCAGGGAACCAGATCCCACATGTGGCAACACAGACCTGCTGCAGCCAAATAAAATAAATACTAAAGAAAAGAAGCAAGTAGGTATATTACAACAAAGAGACTATTTAAAAGAACGTGACTGAGAGAGCGCCGAAGAATTGATGCTTTTGAACTGTGGTGTTGGAGAAGACTCTTGAGAGTCCCTTGGACTGCAAGGAGATCCAACCAGTCCATCCTAAAGGAAATCAGTCCTGAATATTCATTGGAAGGGCTGATGCCAAAGCTGAAACTCCAATACTTTGGCCACCTGATGCAAAGAACTGACGCACTGGAAAAGACCTTGATGCTGGGAAAGGTTGAAGGGGGGAGGAGGAGGGGACGACAGAGGATGAGATGGTTGGATGGCATCACCAATGCAATGGACATGAGTTTGAGTGAGCTCCGGGAGTTGGTGATGGACAGGGAAGCCTGGTGTGCTGCGGTTCATGGGGTCACAAAGAGTTGGACATGACTGAGCGACTGAACTGATACTGACTGAAAGACATGGAGGAGAGAGGGAAGCTTAACACACATCCGTCAGAGTTCTAAAAGGACAGAACGGAAGAAAATAAACTTCTTCAGAGTGATCATGACTTCGGATATGACTAAAAGAACCACCCCATCTCATTTTATGCTTAGAGAACCTTGGTACTAAAATGAGACACGGATGAGAAAGGAAAACTACTAGCCAAATTATCAAGAACAAAGGCAAAATTATTAAATCAGATATTAACAAAAGTGCAAAAATGTACTAAAATAATGTAACTCAGCTGGGTTTATTCTGGTGCTACAAGACGGATTCAGTATTAGAAAATTCTAATAACTTCTGATTCTGGCTATGAAAAACCAGTTGTTATCTGATAAACTGAACTTCAAAAAAAAAAAAAATCAAACCCCACAAAAAAACTAAATAGGATACTCAAAACAACAAAATCTCTCTTTCAAGGCATTAAAAAATTACCAAAGCAGCCAGAATTTGAGAGGCTAAGATTTCAGTGAGAAGGGAAACTTTAATCAGGTGAGTCTGACAGTCTGTTATTCCAAGGTGTCTCCCAAATCTACAGGCAGCAAAAAGCTGAGATGCTAAGAAGGCAAAGTGGTGGCTGAGAGTCTGGGAAGCTGAGCAGAGCTTGTGGTAGTTCCACGGGGACAGGGAGACCAAAACTGGAATTCGGAGCTACAAGGCAGACAGGACTTGGGGAAAGCACCTTGAACTGAGCAAAACTTCTAGCCGTCTTAAGATGGGGGCGAGACAAAAATTGGAGCTCAGTGTCTGCCAAGAAGGAGCAGCTTGGAAATACCCCAGGCTGTCACAAAACCCAGCTCTGAATCAGCTGAATCCCATATTGGATTAAGTCACCCTACGCTATTGTCTGCAAGAAGCAACAGTAAATCCATTCTTGAAGAATAGAAAATCATCCTTAAAAAAAAAAAGAAAATCACCCTTAGTCTCAAGTTATTTCTGTAGTTTTCATATACAGTTTCTGGTGTTGAATAAGAATTACCAAGCGTGGGGATTCCCTGGTGGCTCAGTGGTAAAGAATCCGCTGCCAGTGCAGGAGACGTGGGTTTGATCCCTGGTCCAGGGGGATCCCACATGCTGTGGAACAGCTGAGCCTGTGAGGCTCCGCAACTGATGAGCCTGTGCTCTAGAGCCAGAAGCTGCAACCACTGAGGCCTGAGCACCCCAGAATCTGTGCTTCGAAACAAGAGGGGCCGCTGCAATGAGAAGTCTGTGCACCACAACCAGAAAAAAGCCCACGCAGCAACCAAGACCCCAAACAGCCAACAACTGAATAAGTAAAAATTTAGAAAAATTACCAAACATGCCAGGAGGTAGGACCAAATGACTGCACAGCAAAAGAGAAAAATTAGAAAAAAGTAAAAGACCTACAGGGGTTACAGGTACTAGAAGTACTGGACAAGGGCTTTAAAATGACTGAATCTATCCAAGAAAATATATGACATGATGGGGAAGTTCAGCAAAGAACCAGAAATCTATCAAAAAGAATAAAATGTAATTCTAGAACTAAAGACACACATTAACTGAAACTGACTGCAGTGAAAGTGAAAGTCGCTCAGTCGTGTCCGACTCTTTGCAACCACATGGACTGTACAGTCCATGGAATTCTCCAGGCCAGAATACTAGAGTGGGTAGCCATTGCCTTCTCCAGGAGATCTTTCCAACCCAGGGATCGAACCTAGGTCTCCTGCACTGCAGGAGGATTGCACTGCATTGGACTCATTACCAACTAAGCTATGAGGGAAGCCCACTGATTGCAATAGATAGGTTTTGTAGATTAATTACAGCTAAACTATAAAATAATCCAGCAGAAAATATCCAGATTGAGGTCCAGAGGAGGGAAAAAAAAAAGGAAAATTCAGAAGAGAGAATTGAAGAAACGACATGGCAGTCTAAAATATGTGTAATTGCAGTTCACAAGGAGAGAAGAAATAAATTGGAGCAGAAATCTGAGGAAATCATGGCCAAGACTTTTCTGAAACTCACAAAAGTTAGTAAAGCTGAAGATTCAAGAAACTCTGTGAGCATCAAGTTGGAAAAACTCAAAGAAAACCATACCTAGGTATCCTAGTAAAAATGGATAAAACTCAAATACAAGAGAAAAAGTCTTAAAAGCAAAGGGAAAAAAAAATTATTCTTCAAAGAAGCAGCAGGAAGACTGACTTTCCAATAGAAAGTCTGGAAACCAGAACATAAAGACTTACTTATAATAAAAGTGCTGAAAGAAGATCAATACCTACCTAGTGTTTTATAGTTAGCAAAAAATACTGTTCAGAAAAAGAGGGAAAAATACAGACATTTTAAGACAAATACTGCATTAATATAAATACTAAAGGGAGTTCTTAGGGCAGAGGAAAGTTATCCTAATAACCACAAGCACAGAAATAAAGGAGTGAAGTCTTACCAGAAAGAAAAGAGTAATTATGTGGGTAGTATTGATTGTATAAAACAAAAATAATCTCTTGGGGCAGTTAGATCCTATTTATAGAACTGAAATATCTCACGGCCATAGTACACATGACCAAGGTCCTT